AAGATATGTATTAAAGATACATTTTGTTAGTCAATGTTTTGTAATAATACTGTTTCTAGTATTATGAGTATGGGAAAATGTGAATTATATGTATATGGGATTATGAAGGTTGTTACATTTTGGATMTGTTGTTCGACGGTTGTTGTGCTAGGGTTTCTGCCGGCTGTTTCGATTCTGGTAAGGTTGAACCCTATCTTGGGTTTAATCTCCTTCGCTTTGGTTGTGGTTGATTGTCTCGGTATTAGGATTGCTAAGAGATATCAGTTTTCTGGCTTGTTTTTCTTGCGATTTGTGCTTCTGCCAACTGCGTTTTCTGTGTGGTGGCGGGATTTTKTTGCTGCTGTTATTTCTGCTGTCCATGATCTGGTTGGTTTGTTATTAGTTTTGCCGTTGGTTTGTCTCTTTTTGTGTGGTTTGCATCTGGTGATTACCTTCTGGTTTTCTAGGTTTCTTYTGCTGCTGTTTACGGCTGGTTATTTGGATTAGTTGATAACTCTTGGATTCGATTTTCGTTTGACCTGCTGAAATTCATTATTTTATGTGGTGTGCGGCTTGGTTACTGTTTGCTGCAGCTGTTGGTTTGGGTTATAGAATTCTTCCAATCTCAGCTCCTGTTTTGTGGTTGTTTGTTGTCCTTTGTGTGAAGTTTTAAGCTGCTGTTAGTACGGTTATACTGCTGGTTTGGTTCTAGATCTGTGTTGGGGTTTTCAAAAGCTGATCACAKATTTTCTGTGATTTTATGTGCCTCTAGAATTGCTATTTCCTTACTGTTCTGTTCTCGTCTACAGCAAGAGWTTTTGGTTGTGGACTGTCTTCCAGGTTTGCTGTCTACAGTCATTGGCTGCTGCTTGGGATTGGTTTGTTGGTTCGCTGGCTTTTTGATCCTAGCAGTTGGGAATTTTGCTGCTGGTTTTATYTGGGGCTACTGTTTTCTTATGCTGCTGACTTTCTCGTGGGCTGTTTATTAGGCTGTTTTGGTTTACTCAACTGCTGCCCATATACCTGCTGTTTTATCTTAAGCTGCTGCTTGTGGGTTGTTTGYTGTTTTACTCTGATTTGGTTTGCCTTTTTATCCGTGATTTATTCCCGGCTTGCTTCTTATTTTCTATTTCCTATGTGCATTCTAAGTGTTTYTGTGGTCTTCGTCACTCTTGTTGAATTCCCTTGATAGATATTAAGCACCCTAGTATCTAGGGTCTTCGTCTATCCTATTAAGGGCACTATACAAAAGTTTCAGCACCACGSCTTCTTAGAATGTACCATGGAAATGGGGGATGAATCAGTTCAACCTTCTGATCCTAATGGAATTTCGGTTTTTGAGAGACTTTCACATCTTGAAAATGATTCGGCTGTTAACTTGCCTATGGGTTCGGAGGGTTTGGTTAGAGACAAGTTAAACTTTGCAAAAGCAGTGGGACGATCGATTGATACGAACTTAAACTTCTTCCCATTAGCTGATAAAAAGCAGGTTAGTGTGAAAATCCCTATTGAAATGGCTAAGGAAGCTGCTAAAGCTTATAATTCGGTTTTGTATGGTTATTTTTTGGGCCCGCGTATACCATTTCCCTTAGTGAAAAATTTCGTCAAATTGGCGTGGGGAAAATATGGTTTTAAAGATGCTATGTTGAATGAGAATGGTATTTTCTTTTTAAAGTTTAATGATGTTGGAGGATGTGACCAGGCCATTGAAGTAGGCCCGCTAATGATGAGAGGTATACCTCTTTTTGTTCATTGTTGGGATCCTTCWAAGGGGTTAAGGAAACCGGAACACACTTCCTGCCCTCTATGGGTAAAATTRCACAACATCCCACTAGTTGCTTTCAATAAAGAGGGTGTCAGTCGTATTGCTAGTGTCTTGGGGGTTCCGAAACAGATGGATTCATGTACGGCGTCAATGTGTTAAAAGCCTTGGGGTCGGCCAGGTTTTCCTAAAGTATTGGCTGAGGTTTGGGCTATTGGTGAACTGAAAAGACAAATTGAGGTTGAAATTCCAAACCTCAACGGAGGAGAAGCTGAAAGTGTGCAAATACATGTAGAATATGTATGAGAACCGRTTCAATGTTCCCATTGCCAAGTCTTTGGTCATAAAATTTTGTCTTGCGCTAAAGCTGCTAGCTTGAACAAAGGTAAGTAAGTCGATGGGACGAAAGATTCCGAAGGATTTATTAGAGTGGAAAAGAAGCAATGGCGTGTCAAATCCGGAGGCAAGCCCAAGCAATTTGTTCCACGGCAAGATAATGTAATGGCGAGGCMTGTTCCTCTTTCGGAGACCTTGGTTGCCAGCACCTCGGGTAAAGAGCGGATGGTAAATCRAAATATGGGCACTACTACTATTGAACCTTCTGACCAATCTGGAAATAATGTGAAGAATATCACAAAAGATTCAGGTACGCATTCTGTTGTTGTAGGTTCTAGGTCTTCTTCTACCCAATCTACCCATTCTACCCATTCTATGACCAACTCTACCCCTCTTCTTGATTCTGTGGTTAAAAACTTTTGGTTGCCCCGGAGAGGTGTGATGCGTGAGCCAATATTGGCTTCTAACAAATTTGGTGTACTAGAGAAGTTGGGTGAGGAGGAACATCAAGTGGTGAGTCAAGCAGATGGGGTCAAAGACCCTGTTGTTAGTAATTCGAATGTGGATTGCTGGGAACAAGGGGTAGATCCAAATACTTTATCATGTTGAATTTCGCTTCATGGAATATCCGGGGGCTTAATTC